TTTATCAAATTGTGGAATGCAGTGAAAGGAGCACTTGGAAGTAAATATACAGCATAAAATTCATGTGTGAAAAGAAGATCTAAAACCTAATCTTCTGGGGCACCTGGGTAGCTCAGTGGGTTAAGCCCCTGCCTTTGGCTCAGGTCATGATCCTAGGGTCCTGGGATCAAGCCCACATTGGGCTCTCTGCTCAGCGGGGAGCCTGCTTCCCTCTCTCTCTCTGCCTGCCTCTCTGCCTACTTGTGATCTGTGTGTATCAAATAAATAAATAAAATCTTAAAAAAAAACAACCAAAAACAAACCTAATCTTCTACTTTAGCAAACTAGGTAAAGTAGCCTAAAATAAACAGAAAAAAAAAATAAAAATTATAGTGGAAAACAATTAAATCAATGGAGAAGACTTAATAAATCCAAAGCTGCTTTTTAAAAACAAATAAAATCCATACATTGAGTCTTGCTAAACAAGGAAAAAATAGGCAAATGACTGATACAATAAATGAAAAAAAGGAGTCATGACTATCACTACAGAGCCCATGAAAAGCTAACAAAGGAATATTATAAACAACTTTAGGGACGCAAATTTGATAACTTAGATGAAATGGACCACTTCCTTATATCAGCTCTCACACTGGGAGAGTTGGATAACCTGAATATCTATCTATTAAAGAAACTGAATCAATAGTTTATAAACTTCCCCAAACTAGGAGCTCAGACATATAATTTCACTGTGAATTCTACTAAATGTCTAAGGAAAAAATAAGACCAAGTCTTCACAATCTCTGACAGAAAATAGAAGCATAGGGAACACTTCTTATCCCATTCTATAAGTTTAGAATTATCCCAATATCAATCCAGATAAACTGGTATAAAGAAGTGATAGAATAAATAAATGAGAGAAAGGAGACAAACCCTCAGGGACGTGGCGCATACTCCTCACTCCTTAAGCGCTGGCTGTTCACAGTGATTTCATTCCAGAAAAACCATATGGAAAGGGATGGGGGTGGGGAACAAACAGCTTTACAGTGGAGAAATCTGACAAAGATTACCTCAGCCAAGTGTTCAGGGCAAACGTCAATCATAGTGACAGTATATGCCTTTGAGGTGACATGAGAGTGGAATGTGCTCCCTGAGTGGTCTTCCTCCCCGAAACCTGTAACTGTAATCATGAGGAACACATCAGACAAACCCAATTAAGGCACATTCTACAAAATACCTAACCAGTATTCCTCAAATTTGTTAAGGTCATAAGAAACACGGAAAGTCTGAGAAATCTGCATAGTCAAAAGGAGCCCAAGGGGGTATATTAATTAAATATAATAGGGTACCCTGGATGGGATCCTGGAATAGAAAGAAGGCATTAGGTCAATGCCCTTAGGTCAAAGAACAGACATCTGTATTAGGTCAAATTAGGACATCTGAATAAAGCAGGGACTTTATTACTTGTATAAATGTTGGCTCACTAATTTTGACAAATGTACCATAACTAATATAAGATATTTGCAACAAGGGAAACAAGGTATATAGGAACTCTCTGTACTCTTTTAACTTTTCTATAAATTTAATACTATTCTAAAACAAAAAGGCCATTAAAAGAAATTAACGGGACTGTTGAAAATTGGGTTGCCTACTATCTTCAATTTTATTCAAAATTATGTTGGAAGTCTTACCAGTGAAATGAAATAGGAAAAATGAATTAAAAGGAATAGAATAAAATGTATCAGGATTGGAAAGAAAAAAAAATACATTTCTATACATAAATGCACCTCTATAAATTAACTTTTAGAATTATCATAGTCACTGAAACTAAATTCATTCTACACAAATCAATTTTATTTTTATTCTTATATATCAATTACAAAAAATTTAAGATCTGTTCATGTTCTTGAAAGATATTAAGATCTACATAAGTGATAGATACACCACATCAATATTTTTGAAGACTCAGTGCTTTCAATTCTCCTCAAATTATTCTTTGAATGAAATGTAATTCCAATAAAAATCACAGCAGGTACATTTTTGGAAAATTAATATGTCAATACTAAGATTTATATGGAAATGCAAAGGAACAAGAATGGCTACAACAAACTTGAAAAAGAATTACACAGTGAGAGGATCTGATTTGCCCGAAAAGAAAATTTATAGAAAGCTACTGTATTTAGGGCAGGTAAGAACTGGTACAAGTGCAGACACACAGAGCAGTGGGAGGAAAGAAAGAGTGAAAAATAGACCATTCTCATATGAGCACCTGAATTAAGACCAAGGAGGCAAATATTTCTGGGTCAACGGGTTGCTCACGTGGGGAAACAAATGGCACTTGATACCTACTCTCAATATTTTCTTTAGGATAGGCCTGCTGATTAGTGTAGCTTTTATTCTTCACTCAGTGTTCATCAACTAGTGGCATTTTCCCATTTAATTTTCTTCGTAAAATCTATATCTATCTGAAACTATCCCATTTATTTGATTGCTTTTTAATATTCTGCCTTGCTTCTACTACACTATAAAGTCTTTGAGAGCAAGAATCTTGTCTATTCTCATCACTGTACTTGGAGTATCTAGAACATTTCTTGGCACAATCATAAGCTTTCTAATAAATGAATGTGTAAATCTGCCAGGGAAATTCAGAGTGAAAAGGGCAGGTAATCCCTTGATCCAGCACTTGAATGCTGAGGAAGGGTTTACAGGGAAGAGCCTTGGGATTTTTACTAGAATTACATTTAATTCAAAAATTCAAAGGTAATGGTCTGGGGCGCCTGGGTGGCTCAGTGGGTTAAAGCCTCTGCCTTCGGCTCAGGTCATGATCTCAGGGTCCTGAGATCGAGTCCCGCATTGGGCTTTCTGCTCCTCGGGGAGCCTGCTTCCCTCTCTCTCTCTGCCAGCCTCTCTGCCTACTTGTGAACTCTGTCAAAAAAATCTTATAAAACAAAACAAAACAAACAAAACAAAGGTAATGGTCTGAGACCTATTCCAGGTAGAGAGCACAGCAAAGATGAAAGGTGATGAATGCACTGGGGAGCATCACAAGGGGATTTTCTGAGCAGGCCATTCCTATATGCGGCAAATGGAAATGTTAAAGCGTCAATTAGTCAGTCACATGTCTCAGATTATTTGTATTATTTTCTCTTCATTTTATATACAGATAAACACTTGCTTCCCCACCGAAATATTTCTGTTGAGACCCACTTCCTGGTTTACAGGCTTCTGTTTTCTTGCTGTGTCCTCACAGGGTGGAGGGGAGAGAGCTTTCAGAAGTCTCTTTTTAAAAGGCGCAATCTCATTCATGAGAGCTCTACATTCATGCCCTGATCACTTCTGACCAACGTCCCAATACCATCATATTGGGGGTTAGGATTTCAACACTGGAGTTTTGGGGATTACATTCAGTCCCTAACTTCAGGTGAGCCAAATACAGAGCAAATATGGGAACTCCTAAATTCTAATCTAAACCCTTCCTAACCGAAGTGTGGGCCACTAACACCATTTGCATCACCTGGGAACTTATTTCAACTCCTGAATTTCAGGCCCCACCTTGCATATTCTCAGCCCGCTTTCCTAAGATCCTAGATGGTTCATATGAACTTTTACGTTTGAGAAGCAAGCACTGATGTAAATCACTGTGCCCCTAGACCTGAGGCATCAGCATCAACTGGGAACTTGTCCCTTATGCAACTTATCTGGCTCCATTTTCCCCACTCACCCCCAGTTCTGGGGGATCAGAACCTGGGGGTAGGCCTGGTGATGTTTTAACACTCAAGTTTGAGAACCACTGGATTCAAGCCATTATCCTTTTAGCTGTGACCATTTTTAACTTTAAACCATTTGTTGCCTATGATTTTTAGCACCACGATTCTATTTCTAATGTCAGTGGAAACCTAGGAGAGTCGGAAAAGAAGGAACCTGGAAAAATCCATGGTAATATGGGACAATATGCCATACTTATGGCAATAAATAGAGGATTTCCTCTCTCCCCAAGCTGGAAACATATTGAAAGGACTCTCTAGATGGGCGAACATAAAAGCCATATGCTGGTAGGCCATAAAACTTGTTTAAAGACATATCCATGCTTTTTCAATAGCTATTTTAGTAAAGGTTTTACTCCCACCTTGACGTCTAAATTTTAAAACGCCTCCACCTCTGAAAAACATTTTTCAAAGCTTGTCAGATGATAGCAGAGCGAACAGCCTCTTAGTTTATTTAAGGACGCTACCAGAGTCTATCAGCTCCAGGTGCTCCTAATTATGGGGGAGGTTATCCTCGATTTTAAAAACACGGCAAGCGAGGCAAGGCTTCCTATCTTTGTTCTTTAAAATAAAACCCCTCAAAACTACCTACTACTTTTCAGTCAATTCCTGGGATTTATCTTAGAGCCTCTCTCTACTAGGTGGAAGACTTCGATAAGATTGTTTTAACGACTCTAGGTCTTTATCCTCAGACCCAGTCCTTCCCTTAACACTGAAGCGTTATCAGTCCTTTGTCAAGTTCAGGGTCAATCTGCCTCTCTTCTCAGAAGTGGGCCGCGAGAAAGAAATCAGAGGCCGAAATCTGCAGGGGTTAAACCCTCTCGGGGCAGAAGCAGAACGGAGGTTTCACCCCAGGCCAGCGCCGCGCCCCGGGACCACCAAGCCCTCCCTTCCGAGCTCGGCCTAGGCACTTTTTCAGGCCCACCTTGCGCGGCCGGGGTCCCCGCGACTCCGGGCCCGCTCCCCGGCGCCAGCAGGGGGCGGCCGGGCTCCGCGTCCCCCGACGAGGAGGGGACGCCCCGGCGGAGGAAGTGCCGAACTCCAGCCGGCCCGCCCGAAGCGCAGGCGGCGGCAGCGGGAAGCGGCCTCCTCGCCGGGTCCTCCCCCGCAGGCCAGCCCCCGGCCCTCTCCCCGCCCCGCGCGGCTGCCGCGGCGGCCGGTTCCGGGTCCTGTGACCCGTCGGGCGGCGGCCCGGGCGCAGGGCGGCCGGCCTCGGGGACGTTGCGACGGCAGGCGGGGGCTCCGAGGGCGCGCGGGGACGGCCGGCCGGCTCGAGCGGGGCCGGGGGCGCTCATGGCGGGCGGGGGACCCGGGGACCCGGGCCAGGGGGCGGCGGGGGCGGCCGCGCCCGAGACCCGCGAGCACCTCTTCAAGGTGCTGGTCATTGGCGAGCTCGGCGTGGGCAAGACCAGCATTATCAAGCGCTACGTCCATCAGCTCTTCTCCCAGCACTACCGGGCCACCATTGGGGTGGACTTCGCCCTCAAGGTCCTCAGCTGGGACAACCGGACGCTGGTGCGCCTGCAGCTCTGGGACATCGCGGGTAAGCGGCGGGCGGTGGCCTCCATCGGGAGCCGGCGGCCACTGGGCTCCGCTCAGTCTCCTGCCCTCTTTCTCTGTCCTCAGCCTGCACTGCCGGCCCCGGAGGTATGGGAGAGACTAACGCCGCCAGGGACAAGGAAAGGGCCATGGCCGGGTGAACTACTGGACCATGGACCGGGCAGTAGTAGTAGTTGAGGGATTTAAAAGCAGCATAAGATAGATAAATGCATACATAACTAGCCCTGGTTAGATGCCTCTACTAAGTCTGTAGAAAGCATCTAGTTTTTAAGAGGTCTCAGAGAGGAGGCCTCCACTCCAGTTCTCTCTCACCTGACCGGAGGTGGGACAGCCCTGGGGTCTTTTCCAGAAGTTGAACTCTGAAGGTTGACAAGCTTATAATACATCAGGAAGAGTTAAGGGGAGGCGTGGGCTCCTCTCAACCGGCTTTAACATCTCAGAGATGAGCACTGAAGTTGAATGGTTCACCCAAAGTCAGTACTTACTGTCACTACTTAGTGACACAACCAACACTAGCGACTAGATTCCTTTTTAGAATGTTTTTCATCACGACCTTGGATCCGAGACCCTTCTTTGTGAGTGAAACTCCATTCTTGAGACAGGGTGCTCTGTTAGGTCATGCCTGTCCTCTGCCTGTGAAGATTTGGGGAGGCTGCTCTTGCATCCTTCCTCCCTCCCTAAACCAGCATCTCTCCCCACTCCTGGCCCCTTCTCAACCCTACACCCCAGTATATTTCTCTGTCCTTTGATTTCAGTTGTCATTTAGGAGCATAATATCCCTCTTGGAGAGGATACTTACTCTCCTTGCTTTAATTTATGAAAACCTGAACTCTGTCGGGTGCGGTGGGTGGGGGGTGGGCATTTAAGAAGATGTTAACTTTGGAAAGCTTAAATATGGAAGTGATACCAAAAGTTACCCTGTTCAGTCATTGCTAGTAGGAAGCTCAGTCTTCAGTAGAGAATTTTTATGGGAGAATGTTCAGAGCTGGAGAGACCATTCTTTAGGATGGTTCATCCTATAGATGCATCAACTGTAGAAGTTTTGGTCACCCATCCGGTAGTGGGGTGGGAGTGAGGTACGGTGACATAGGTCTGTCTGCTAGGTAGTGCTCTTTTCATTAACAGTTTATCCCATATGAGAAAGTATTGAAGAATTATAACCCATATACGCACTAATTTAAGAACAGACTTCTCTGCCTCAGATATGAGAATAAATTTAAATAAATAAATAAATTTATGTATGTCAGTTCCTCAGAGAAAGGGGGATGATCAGCTCTGGGCTCAGCTTTTTTTTTTTTTTTCTTTTGGTTACAGAAAACCAAAAGTTCGTTTGAAAAGTCATCTTTTGAAGCCAGAGACTTCTTTCGAAATACTTCCTGTGTTTCACAGAACACTTATGAATACTAGTATTGCTTTTTGACAAGGTCGTAAATTCTAAAGGTTGCCTTGCCATGTGATAGTCATTCTCCAGGAATCTTCAGTGTAGCTGTAGATTTCCATGAAGATGATTTTAAACCCCCATCTAGGAGCGTTATTGACTTTGCTTTATTCTTCTTGTAAAACAGTATCATGTTTAGCTATTAAATTATCACTGGGCCTCACTGCAGGTAAATAAAAGATTTTATTGGCACATTTGTGTTTTTAAGCTTCATGCAAAAATGCATATATTTAAAGACTTGGGAAAGCAAAATCATGAGTAATTTTCTCCCTGAGTATCACCTCTTCCCTTTTTTTGTCCACCTTGAACAGACCTATGCAGCCAGGAGGGGAACATAGTCAGTCTTGTCAGACTCTGGTACATATTGAAATAGATGAAAAGGGCTTGCACTTTTGCCTAAGTCCAAAGGTTGAGCTTTGCCAGGAAGGAAAGCAAGATTTTAAGATCTCCAAAAGGGATTCCTGGATGAGAGATACCATCCAGCAGGTACGCACCAGATGTTAACAAGATTTGAAGTAAACTAATGAGGTAATTAGAAATTACTAGGCTCACCTTACAAATAAGATTTTCAGAGATGGGGTCTTAATATATAAGGAAGCTGCCACAGAAATAATTTGGCTTTCATTTGAGGTTTAGGGAGCTACATCATTAAGTACTTTGCTTTGAATATTTGACCTGTTAGTGAATCCTAGCTGATATCATTTGAATTAAGTCGTAATGATGTAATGAAGGCAAATCGAAGGCCACTCCAGAAAGTTCTCCAGGGCTAAACAACATTGAATCATATTGAATTCTCAAAGGATAGAAATACTCCTTGATTGCAAAACAGTAGGTAGAACTGGCCAGTTGATATGACTAACTTAAGGTTTGGTGCTATTACTAGTTTTTTCGTCGCGGCTTTAGAGATGAGAAAGCTGGCAAAGGGATTACATTGAGTCTCTTTATACTTGGAAACTTTGGCAGGTATAACAGGTGGGAGTCGTCCAGACATTTCCCATAAATGTGGCCAAGCAGTTTCAGCTCAACTCTTCAAATCAGGAACCCCAGTGTCTCTTGGGTGCAGGCCTTCGGAATGCTTTCTTACTGCGAGAAATGAGTGTAGCTTTAAAATCCAGATGCAATCCAATTTTTGTGTTAGGCCACTGTCTCTTCCTTCATACGTGTTTTGAGATTGCTCTTAACACATTAACTGAAATACACTAAGTTACTGAAGTGTCAAAAAAATTTTAGGAAGTTTAATAAATACCACTAAAATTTAAGATGTAGCAAGAGATGTCTCTGAGCTTCCTTTTGTTGTTGTTACATAAGTTAACCCATTTTTCATAGGTCAGCAATGTATTAAATGGTGGAGCTACTATTTCAATTATCCTCATGATATTCCTGACGGGGCCGCGTATTTACCGGTGATTTCAACCTTTTTGGTGCATTTTGCCATGTCACAGCACACTAGGGTATTTCTTAGAGTGGGATCTGATCTGCACTTTCATATATAGTGCGTATGAAGTGGTATTTGATTACAACTTATGATAACTTTATTAGCAGCTATAGGATTTTCCAGGTAGGTTGAATGGCTGGTCTAGACTAAATCTTCAAAAGAAAGAAACCGGTGTGTCCATTTGGATCTAATACAGTGTAGTCTTCCTGTATTTGCTGAAGTAATTTACTTTTGCAGGGGAGGCATAATTTTATCCCTGCCTTTTTAAAGTTTTCATCAAGGCCTGAAAATTAAATTGATGCTAGACAAATTAGCAGCAGAAATTTGTTTCATGTAAGTTTTCTGTGACACAGGAGCCCTCATAAGAAAGTGAACACCCAAAGAAGTGGCAAAACCCAAATGGTTTTATACCAGGTTGAACAAAGAGAGGAAATTGTAAAAAAAAAAATAACTAATATGGGCAGGCTAAAGGAAAATAAGAGTTATTTTATAAGGTCTGTTTGTAGAGACTTCTCTCAGCTTTGACTCCCATCCCTGGTGATAAGAATATTTCTTTCCTCCTGGAAAAGAGAGGATATCTCTCACATGGGAGTATTCTCATCTACTTTTAGGGAGAAAAAGGGGGAGATTAGAGCATTCTTCTTACACCTGATCTTTTTCAAGTGCCTTTAGTTCAAAATGATCCTTATGCCAAAGTGGCATTTTTTTTTTTTTTTTGCCACATTTCACTTTTTAGAATCCGTATTTCTCTATAAAAATCTGAATGGATAACCCTACTTTGGGCCCAAGAACAGATCAGAAACATTTTACTCAGAAGTTCCTGTAAATGTTATTTACCTAGAGCATAAAATGCATTGTTGGAAGACATTATAAGTTATATAAACCATACTTAGATTCACTTTTTATTTTTTTGATTCCCATCCTAAATTAGAACATGGATCCATCTTCCACATTGACAGTCCCTGTACCTCATGGCCTCCTCTTGCCTGCTTTCATAACTCTCCTTTAACCCTCATGAGCAAGAATCTGGAATATTATCTCAGATGCTTTCTTGACCTTCAAATTATCTATTAGTCAGGAATTACTAATGTTCAGGTTTCTTCTAAATATGAAGAAGCAGTGCTTTGAGGAATTAGTCTATAGTTATTTGTAGTCTCCATCTTAAACACTGACTATTACAATGACTTTCCAATTACTTAATAACTCATTTAAAGGAATTTTTTAAAAAAAAATCTTCATTATATCTGACTTTTGTATGATTTTTCCATCCTGAGCCTTACACAGATTCAACTGCTGTGCTGAATTACAAGCGAAGTCTACTGTCTCATTTTACATCTTTAAATCTTCCTCAATTCATCACTCTGGAGACATCTTTGGGTGCCCCAGTCTGAACTTTGAACCCACAGTTGCCCAGGCAGGCTTAGTGTAACAGCATATTTCTGTTACTGCATGCGGAAATTCTCCTGAAAATGATACGCTTATTGCCTTTCTTTCCTTTCTTTTTTTTTTTTTTTTTTAATTATTATGTTACCATTCTCAGTTGCCTCAATTTCCCACATAGGCTGAAAAGTGCCCAGGTTAGCAATAGAGGGAGACATTGATAGAAAGCACTAAAACATGAACTTTTTTCCCTGTTTTCCTAATCATTCTGTTGTTTGAATTGAAGGTGTTGGAGGCTTTTAGAGATCCCATAGTCTAAATACAGAGAAGTGTAGTAAGTTGACCAAGAAAACACAGATAATCAGTGGCACTGTACAAAGACACATCTCATGACTCTGAAATATGAAAACTAGCTTTTAATAGTGTAGCAGATTTTTGGTTCACTGGTGTCAAAACAGTCTGAAGATGGTTGTCCAACAGTCTAACAGACTCTAGTCTAAAATTGCAAATGTTCTGGTCATTCTTACAGTAGCTCATATGACTCTTCTCATATACCCATTCTAATAATTCCATCTCTTTATGTTATCAGTCCAGAATTTCCAGTTATACTCTTCTTAACACAGAATGTCCAGTGTGTATACTTTTTGATCTGCTCCATCATTTTGGGGGGGCATTTTGAAAGACTGTTTCCACAGTGTGGACTTTCTGAAGATAACAAAGCCTTTTTATT